TGAGTTTCTGGTGTAGCCTTCCTGTATTGGGGTGAGAATTTCCTTACTTGGGTCACTGGAGATTGTGTCTTATGCTGTCAGGAGGACGGGCTTGGGGCAGAGAGGGGAGGTTGGAGCCTCGGAGGTCAGGAATGGGGAGAGGAAGGAGTGACCCAGAATGGAAGTCTGTGGGGTCAGCCCAGGACCATGTGCCTTGGTGCTTCTCTTATTCCCACCTGGGGGACCAGGGCTCCTAAGCACGGGCCTGGAAGATTTCCTGCTTGCCCACCAGGAAAGCAGTGTGGGGTGCCAGCCAGAGCCTGGAGGCCCACGCCTCCTTCCTCATGCGATGTCCTCTCACTCTGCCCTCCAAACTGTTTGAGAGGCGCCCCAAGAAAAGCAGCCTTCCTCCCTGCCCCACGGGGGTGCTGCCTCAGGAAGCCAGGCCCAGGCAGAGTCCACCCCTCGGACCAGTCCCGAGCCTTAGGGAGGATGACCCTGCTGGCACCATGGGGTCACAGCAGCATGTGCCTCCCTCTGTGCCCACTGGGTTCCCCCCACCCACCCACCGCAACTCCAGGCCTCTCTGGCCCGTGCGGGTCCCGGTAAGGACTCCGAGGTAAGGACTCCGAGTCCTCTTCACTGGCTCAGAAGAGGAACTTGGAGGAGGGGGTTGGCTGTTTCAACACTACTGTAGGGGGCTGGGGGCATTGCTGCAGCAGCTGGAGTTTCCTCTTAATGAGATGGGGAGGGGGGTGCCTTGCTGGGGAGGGGGGTGCCTTGCTTGCTGAGCTTTGAAAAAAAGGCATCATCCCAGGGAGACGGGGCGTCACTGTCTTCTCCATGCACCTCTGCCCCAAAGCCATGGGGTTCTGCTGACGAGTCACAAGAAAACAGCTGGCGACTGACTCACCAGACAGGAATGAGCATGCCAGGGGTGAGGCGCGCCACTGTGTGCTGGGTAACCCAGGGCAGCACAGTCAGGGGCCCTGGCTGGGCTGTGTCTGTCCCCTCCCTCTGGCTGCCGGTGCCTGGTGCCCGGTGCCCGGTGCCAGGTGCCAGGTGCCTCAGGTAAGTCCTGCCTCTAAGGAGAACTCGGGGCACATTCTAGATGGCCTTGGAATGCCAGCAAGGCCGGCACACCAGAGCTCTGCCCGGTGCCCCGAAAATATCCCACCCTTCCATGGAGGAGCAGCCCCAGGACACTGTGTTCTGACCCCTTTCAGGATAGGGTGAGGACGTCATTTGCATCTTGCGGTGCATCCGTTACTGTGTGGGACGAAAGGCAGGGTGACTCATTCCCACCATGTGGCATAACTAGTGTGGCCATCGCGGTGGGGGGGCTGGGCGGAGGGGTGTCCTAAGACCTGGTTCGCTCGGTCCAGCCTCCGCTGCAGGCTAGGGACGCCTGGGCCCTGTGAGCCACGGTGGCGCTCAGCAGTGCACACGCCTGCGGGCCCTGGTCCCCTCTCTGGAGGACGCAGGTCTGTGCCGGGCAGCAGCTCTGGACAGGCATGGTGGGGCTCAGGATGCCCGGCGCCTGAGAGTCTAGACCTCTCACAGCAGAATCTTCTTAATCGAGTCTTCACTTGTTGGGGTAGAAACATGTATTGGTTTTATTTTTCTTCTAGTGACCGCACCTGACTATGCTGAGGGCCAGTGTACGATAGTGTTTAAAAAACCCGGACTCCGTGCCTTCTCCCATCCAAGTACTCACCAGGCTTCCACCCTGCTTAGCTTCTGAGATCAGACGAGGCCAGGCACGCTCAGGGCGGTATGGCTGTCGACTGCGTTCTTATCCTGGTGTTACCACCTCCTAGCTGCGTGACCTTGGGCAAGTTGTTTAACCTCTCTGTGCCACAAATTTCCCATCTCTTCATTCTGCCCCCTCCAGCTTCCCACAAAGGTGGTCCAGCCTTCAGCCTCTTACTGATAAGTTTCCCTCACCCTGCCACCAGTGACCCTCTGCAGAACTGTCACCAAAATGGCTCAAGCCTACCTTTTGTTCCTGGTATCCACCGCTACCCTGACCGGGAGCACGTCTCTGACTTGCCCAACAATGGGTCTGCAAGCTGCCCCTCCCGCCCCTTCATTCAGCCCTGCATGGCTCACAGGTAGCCCAGGAGCAGGGGAGCAAGTTTGCGGGGTGACAGACAGTGGGAGCACCCTCACCGACAGGCACCCCACTCTGTTTAAGGGGTTCTTTGACAACCCCTCTGCCCTCAGCTTCAGGGAGAGAAAGAAAAGCCTTCCAGAATGGCCAAAGACCACTTTTCTCTTCCCAAGCTGATAATGATGGGGGTGAATGGGTCATTGTGCCGGTTCTGGGCTGACACCTGCCAGGAGCCCACCAGGGTGGCTGCAGCCCCACACCTGACAGCTCACTGTGGCTCCTGGAACTTGAGAGTCCAGCGCATTTAGCACCATTTGTCCTTAGAGCTGGGCCTCAGCCACAATCTGGGAATACAGAAAAAGTCCTACTTGGTACCCTTGTCTATGTTTATACTGCTATTAATTCTCCCCAGTTCTGTCCCCACCCAGGCTGCCTTGAATAAGCCCCTACCCTCTCTGGGTCTCAGCTTCCCCTGCTGTGACATGAAGGGCTTGCTGGGAGACCACTGAGCTCCCTCCAAGAACCTGCCCCAGGGTTAAACGGGGAGAAATCAGCCTGTGAGGACAAAGGGTGGGTTGGTGACATCTGGACCAGCCATTGATGCGTTTGAAGGAGCCTGGTGCTCTGGCTCCCCCAGCAGGCGCTGCTAGCCCTGAGCCCCAACAGGACCACGCTGGAGAGGGTCTCGTGTCTGGGCTGCCACTGAATGCAGAGGGTGAGGCCTTGTCCGTCACAGGTGTGGGTCCCGTGGCGTGTCCCTGCCAGGCACCGCACAGCCTGAGATGGGGGAGGGGCCCTGAAACCAGAAATCTGCCCATTCTGGCCCAAGGTCCATGGACTCGCTACCTGGGCCACCTGTGGAGGAGTTAGCAAACAAAAGACCCAAAGTCAATTGGGAAAGTTCCACGGAAGGGCCTCAGGATGCCTTTGGGTATCCAAGTGCCGCTAATGGAAACACCCAAGATTCTTTGTCCCGAATCACAAGTGAAAGATTTCCTGAACTCAACTGGCCATGGCCTTCACCAGCCAGCGGGCATGGGACCTGGAGGGTTGGTCTGTGTCCTAGGCCAGACCAGCACCCTGGCCCCAGGCTCTCGGGTCTAGGTCTTTGGCAAGCAAGCTAATTCCTGCACCCAGACCCTGGCACGTGCTGCCGCCTCTTTCTGGAACGCTTCCCTCCCTCACTCCTCCTGGCTTCCTCATCCAGCTTAAATGTCCCGTCTTCAGAGAGGCCTCCCTGACTCCCAACCCCCTAGAGTGGAGGGGTCCCCATTGTCCCCTCCCAGCACCATCCTTTCTTCATAGCATGTTCTGCCTTCCGGGATCACCTCTTTCTTTGCCTATTAAATTGCTCAATGTCTATGTCTCCCCCAAGGAGCATGCCTGCTTGGCTCTCTGCTATCTCCCTAGTCGGCACATAGTAGGTGGTCAATAAACCCACGACGGGGTGGGGGCATGCGTGCTGCCTCCTGTGTGCCCACGGCTGCACCAGCCCACTTTGCAACACATGACCCACCGGGACATCGGTGCAGGGAGGCTGGGCAGCTCACAGAGGGCTCGGTTTTCACTTGGCGGGAGGTTCCTCCCAGGCTGGGGAAGCAGGAGGATTTGCCTGTGTGGCGTCTCCGTGAGCTGAATGCTGCTAGACCCGGGTTAGGATCGTATCTCTTTGCGTGTCATTTGCATGTCATTTGCATGTCGTTTGCATGGCGCAGCTCTGAGCCTGTGCTTCCTCTTCTGCTTTCCCAGTTGTCTCCAGATGCACAGAGCTGGGCAGCTGCTTCCTTGGCTTCCCTGAGACGTGGCCTGACTGGCCAGAGAAAGGGTCTGTCTGAGGGGGTGAATGCAATGAGAGTCCTATGGGCAGGAGCAATATGGCAAAGACGTAGCTGTCGTGCACTGGAAGGTGTCCCTGTGCCTCCATATGGCATTTAATCTTCCCAAGAGCCCCATATGATGAGCACTATCATTGTCCCCATTTTACAGATAAATACATTGAGGTTTGGAAAAGCTAAAGAATTTGCCCAAAGTCACATGGCTAGCAAATATCAGAGTCCAGATTTGCGTCTAAGACTTTTGGACGCCAGAGCCAGGCTTAGTCACGGTGCCACACTGCCTCTCACGGCTTCCTGGGGTACCTGGGAACCCTCACACGTAACTGAGGACCTGGGCTGGTCCTGCTGGAAGCTCGTAGTCCCCATCTGGTGCTCAAACCCCTCATTAGGTCCCCTCTCAGTGGCCTTCCAGCTGAGCTAAGCACCCCCTGGTCTCTCTTCAGTAGGACGCAGACGGGGGCCGGGCCAGGTCTTTGGTACTGGGAGCATTGCCATGTCTCAGAGAAAGGGAAGGGAAATGGAGAAAAGAAAAAGTGGAGGAAAGAAACAGGTGCCTGTGAGCTGGGTGCCCAAACAGTGGCTGTGACAAGGTGGGGGGGGGAGACAGGACAGCCCCCCTCAGCACATCCTGTGGCCTTCCCCGCCAGAACAGGCTCCCTGCCCCATCCCTAGGGGTTTAGGGGACACAGACCTAGAATTTCAGAAAAAGTGTCCCAGGTGATTGTGATTTTCCCCTCGGGGTCCTCGTGTCCAGCCCACTGGGGCCTGGCCACTCCCTGGGCACTTGGCAACACTCCCCTCTGCTCCCATCACTGACCCCTGACTTCCTACACCTTCGTCCCATCCTGCTGCTCAGATGCCCCCACCCCCGAAGCCATTCCTGCGCCGGGGGGCAGCTGGGAGCCCCTGGTGCCACACTCACAGCACCGCAGCTGTAGCAGGCTCGCGCGCTCTCGGGCTGGGCTGTGTGCGCCCGTTGTCTTTGCGGCTGCCCTGCTGGACCAGGTGCTGCCCGGCCCGGCACTCGCTGGGAAAGGAGCGCCACAGGCTGACCAGCGTCTGTCCCCACGCAGGCAATGACTCAGGATGCAGCCTGGGGCCACGACATGCACGGAGGACCGCATCCAGCACGCCCTGGAGCGCTGCCTGCACGGACTCAGCCTCAGCCGCCACTCCGCCTCCTGGTCAGGTAGGTCTGGGGAGGCCGGGAGGCGTCCTGAGGGCCCTGGGAAACCTCCAGGGCCACGGTGGGCACTGGACCAGGCTTGGAAGCTGGAAGATTCTAGTTCAAATCCTGTCCTGAGCAAGTCCCTGGAAGTCACCTGGGAGGTGCCTGATGCAGCACCTGACGCAGAGCCAGTCCTCAGCATGTGCCACGTTCTCCCGAGATACCGTCCTCGTCCTGCTCAGGGCTGCGTCTCGCTTCTTGAAGACAGTATTGAACCTGCTTAGAAATGCCACAGCTGCTGATTCCCAAAGAGCAGCTGGGAATGCATGGGCAGCCCCTCTCAGAATTCTCGTTTACTAGTTTCTAGATCCCTCCATAGCCCCATTCCCCTCTTCCCCGTAGAACAGGAGGGAATCTCAGCAGAGCTGCAGGGAGCAGGAGGCTTCCATGTTCCCCACTCCCCGGGACGGGGAAACACAGGCCAGGGCGGTCGCATCTCTGGAGGGGGGGTGCCTAGTTGGGATGATTCCTTATGCTCGCAAAGATCTCACGCCTGTATCTCACTTGCTTCCCCAACCGCTCCCTGACATAGATCCCTGCTGCTCCTTGAGCATACCTGCTTCCTCCCTAGTTTAGCACCTTTGCACCTGCTGCCTGGAACTCCTCCCCAGGAACTGCATACAGCTGGCTTCTTGTCCAGCTCTCAGATCAAATGTCACCTTCTCTGAGAGGCTTTCCCTGGCCTATGGATCTGGATTAAAACTAGCTCCCATCGGTTGTACAACCTTGTGCAAGCCACTCACCCTTCCATGACCCCACTTGCCTTGTCTGTAAAATGGGCATAATAATAAGAACCACCTTCCTAAAGGGAGCATGGAGCCTCAATGGAGGTAACGTATGCGAAGGCCAACACCGTACAGTAGGGGCACGTAGCAGGTTGTCCATAAATGGTGGTTTTCCTTCTTGCCTCCCACCCAGGTCCTGAGGGAGCCCAAGCTTATCGAGTTGGGAGAGGGCAGCATCAAGTAAAAGAATACAAAAATATCTAACATTTGCAAATTTTACCAAAACCTATGACCACATGGACACGCTGTTAGGGGCCTCCAGGGCTTTGGAAGGAGCCTGTGCGTGTGAGGAGGCCTGGAGCTTGAGCTCCATGAAGTTCAAGGTCAACCCACTTCCACCCTTGCTGCTGTCACTCCCCACTCCACACACACACACACATCCACACACATCCGTCCTGCCGTGACCACCCCTTTAGTTTTTAGGGGTTTACCCTTGCTGACTGTGGTGAAACAGACTGAAAAAATAAGAAAGTCTGGGGAAGTTACGGAGTGACAAAATGCTCATTGTAGCTTTTAAAATATAAATAGTTTAGCTTCCTTTTCCTGGACTCCATGGTCAGGCAGTCCTGGGAAGCCCCGTGGCTGTCCCAGACTCAGTCCTGTGTCTTGGGGTGGAGCTCGCCATGGTGACTCTACTCTTCCATCGGTTTCTGCCTGTGTTCTAACTCCCCTGCCTCTCGTAGGTACCAGCACCCCCCGTAGGAAACCAGGCCAGGGGAGGTTTGGGGGAACCAGTGCTCCCCAGAGGCAAGGGTAGCAGAGTCATGGCAAGTTCACTGGCCTCGAAAGAGGATCCCAGGCTGAGTCTCCAAGCCCTGTGTCTCTTGTATATGCAGGATAGCAAACTTGTCATGTCTTGATGGGGCATGGTAGGGTTGAGTGTTGGTCCAGCGTTTTCTCCTCGACTCTTTTACTTTGGAAAGGCATATTCCAGTGCAATCTCACAATGGAAGGTTCCAGGGTAGACCCCACCTCCTTGTCTACAGCCGCTGCCTGAGGGTGGCCAGAAAAGACCAGAAGTGACCATTCGCCTCTCTCCCTTTCCAGCCGGGCTGTGTCTGAACTGCTGGAGCCTGCAGGAGCTGGTCAGCAGGGACCCGGGCCACTTCCTCATCCTCCTTGAGCAGATCCTGCAGAAAACCCGAGAGGTGAGGGCAAGTCAGGAGGAGAAGGGCAGAGCTGGGGTTGGCCTCGTAGAGTCGAGAAGTAGATCCCAGAGGACATCAGTCCGGGGGTGCCTGGGCTCCCGGAGGGGCTTGGCAAAGGCCCTGGGAACCCCTGAGTCTTGTGCTTCAGCAGTGCCTGTACGCTGAGGGTGTCTGGGAAGGGCTGTGTCCTGCCAGTGGGATCACGCGGCGCTGAGCCAGGGTCCCCACTGTAAGCCGCTGCTTACTTTGCTTGTAAGTCAGGGTGTTGGCTAGAAAGGAAGAGGACATTTTGCTGAATTCTTTTCCCCCCAAAAGATGCATGAAAACAAAGACACGAAAGAGAAAACTGATTGGAAAGGTAAACTGAAGCCTCCTCTGACAGTTCAATAAATGGGCTTTTATGACAAAGAAGAGGAGTGTGTTTAGTGCTGCACTGGGCTTGAAAAAAATATTGCCTCACTAATAATACGATAAATGTAAATTGAAACCATGAGACAGACTTTGCCTAGCAAATTAGCAAAAAAAAAAAAAAAAAAGGCAATAACCAGTGCAGGAAGAGTGTGGTAAAACTGGTACTTTTGTACATATGAGATATTATAGATGGCACAATCCTTTCGGATGGTGACTTGGCAATATGTCTCAAAGATCGTAAGTATGTTTATAATCTTTGATCTGTTGATTATACTTCTTGAGTCCTATTCTAGATAAATAATCCAAATTATAGAAGAAGAAATGTGCTAACTGGTATTCATATGAAATACCAAGAATATAATCTTGAATGTCCTCAATGAAACTAATAAGTTATAGAGATCTACCAGAAGGAATACTACACAGCTAAAAAAAAAAAGGGATGAACATTATCTAAGGGTGTAAACAAAATTTCATATATAATAAAATTGCATCACTAAGATTTATTAAATGGTGCAAGGGGAAACTGACTAAACATTTGGAAAAATGCCGAGTAAGATTCCCATATAGCATGATATAGTATGGTAGGCTTCACACCACACAGCAGATGAAATTCTTGGATTAAAGATTTAAATTTCAGAAAATGAAGCTTCAAAGAAAAGAAGAAAATATGTGTGAACGTTTAAGTGATGCTCATATGTAAAAGCAAAAATCCACAAAGGACACTTATAATTTATGTACATCAAAAAATATCTATAAAATTAAAAGACAAACAACCAACTGGAAAAAAGTCTTTACAACACAAATAAGAGGTAAATGTAAAACCAGGAGGGAAAAGAAAGGTGGTCTCAGAGGCCATGTAGTAAAACTGAAATTCACTACTGATGCTCAACATAGAAGATATCAAGAGCAAAACTGCACACACTGTGAGCGGAGCTTTGTGGAAGAAAATACATGGGGAAAAAATGGTGTCAGGAAAAGTGCATTGAAACAACAGCTGTGGTTGGGTTTGGGAGGGGAAATGCTGAGTGTTTTTTGTGTTTAATTCTATTTTCCAAATTTTTTGTCTTGTGGTTACACTGCTTTTCACTTGAAAAAGAAAGAAAAGATAGACTAGAATGAGAAAAGCGCTGCTGTATTCTGCCCCAGGGAGCCCTGCACCCCGTGAATAAGCCTCCCCTCTCCCCCCATCCTCTCCACAGGTCCAAGAGAAGGGCACCTATGACCTGCTCGCCCCCCTGGCCTTGCTATTCTACTCTACTGTCCTCTGTGTAAGTCCAGGATGGGCCAGGATGGGTGCGAGGGGGGAGGGGGGGTGCGAGGGGGGAGGGGTGCGAGGGGGGAGGGGGTGCGAGGGGGGAGGGGAAGCACGACCTCTGGCTAGGGCACAGTCCTCACACCTCTGGGCATGAACACTGACAAAGAAACCGTCAAGCAATGACACATGAGATGGTTTTCAACCTTCTGATGGCTTCAGAGCAGCCATGCCTCTGGTAACTCCATGGCCGCCATTGTGCCTGGCATCTCTGGGCTCCCATGGAGGAACTGTTGTCTCCATCTGTTCACAAGCCATGAAAGAGATCCTATGTCCACCTCATTTTTTACCCCAGTGGTCAGTTTCACCCAGTGTGATCACCCCCTGTATTCATGAGAGTGGCAGCACCCATTGTGTGCATGGACTCAATCCACCCTCAGAAAAATCAACATTTGCCTCCACTGAGGATATTTAAGTAAAGTGGTTTAGGCATTGAAGACCATTCTCCAACACAGATGGCAGCAATGGCACCATTTATTAATAGAATGACCCCTAAGGTGACAGCTTTCCAGACAGGCTCTCTCACGCAGTGGGTGAGCTTTGGTCTGGTGGGTAACACAAGGCCCTTACAGTAGAGACACCCCTGGGCGCCATCTTGCCCATCTGTAACTTGCTCCCTACGGGTAACTTCCAGTTCTTCCTGGCCTTGTCCTGGGACACACTGCTGCCGGGAAATGTGTGTCCTTTGCGGAATATTCCAGAAAGGGAGCAGAGGCTGTTCTGGAGTACCAGAGAGCTTTTTCTCACCCAGACTCCTCTGCTTGTTGCTCCCTCCATCCTAGACACCACATTTCCCACCAGACTCAGACCTCCTTCTGAAGGCAGCCAGAACCTACCACCGCTTCCTGACCTGGCCCGTTCCTTACTGCAGCATCTGCCAGGAGCTGCTCACCTTCATCGATGCTGAACTCAAGGCCCCAGGTAAGTGGAGGCAGCTGGCACGCTGCGCAGGGCTCACGTGATCGGGATGCCCCCGGCTGTTCCGAAGCTGTTCTTAGGCCGTGATCCTCCTCACCTTGCGTCCTTTGGTTCATCTCTGCCCGTGCCCTGGTTCAAAACCTTGGAATCTCCTCTTCACGGCACCAGGAAGCATCTGATGGCAAACTCTGCACAAGCTGAAAGCAGTAAACATTGAAGGGAGCTCAAGGAGGAACTTAGGGGAAATTGGAACAGGCGCTCAGGGCAAGGAGACCTTGCCACTTGGCCTGGGCCTCCAATCTGCTTAACCAAGGGTTCTCCAAGGCTGCCCAGGTCAGAGAAATCCCAGAATACTGGCAAGGGCCTTGCTTGTTCTCTTTGCCCCAGGAACAAATAGGTAATTGCATGTGTGGGTTGATTCATTTCTGGCTGGTGCTGGGAATAGATGGGTTGGTGGCCACTGTGACAAGTGTGGACAAGGACTCAGTTTTTATATGTGGGCGTCTGAAAAGTAGGAGTTCTTGACAAATAGCAGACGCTGTTATTGACATGAAAATGAAGTCTAAGGAAACTACGACAGAGCAAGGGAAAACATAAGCAAGTATGATTTACTGAGAGATGATGCATTACATCAATATTCAAAGGAATAAAGTTACATAAACATCTCAATAAATGCCTCTAAAACATTTGATAAAATTCAACACCCATTCTTGATATTCAAAACCCCCCAATATATGGAAACTATTACTATAGAAGTGTTTTTAATATGGCAACAGTCCAAGGTGAAATACTAGAGGCATTTCCTGTAAATCAATAATCTTCCTCTTTTTGCTTATAGGTATTTTGCCTATGCAAAAAGACAAAAATAAAGAGGAAACTTTTAATTATTTAGAGCTCAAACAGTTGTTTACCTGTCTATACTGAGAGAATCGCCTCAATGAAGAATTGTCAGAACAAGAAAACGGGTAGTTAAGAGCTTTTTCATAAACCGGCATTAACCAGTAAGAAAACATAATGAAAAAAATTATGATAGCAACAAAAATAAAAAATAAATAAAACAAAATGTAATAGCTTATGTAGAGAAAACAAACTTTCCCGAATAACAAATAATTGAGGCCGGCTGCAGTGGCTCACGCCTGTAATCCTAGCACTCTGGGAGGCCGAGGCAGGCGGATTGCTCGAGGTCAGGAGTTCGAAACCAGCCTGAGCAAGAGCGAGACCCCCGTCTCTACTATAAATAGAAAGAAATTAATTGGCCAAATAATATATAGAGAAAAAATTAGCCGGGCATGGTGGCGCATGCCTGTAGTCCCAGCTACTCAGGAGGCTGAGGCAGCAGGATTGCTTGAGCCCAGGAGTTTGAGGTTGCTGTGAGCTAGGCTGATGCTACGGCACTCACTCTAGCCTGGGCAACAAAGCGAGACTCTGTCTCTAAATAAATAAATAAATAAATAATTGAAGAGAGGTATCGCTGGGTCAAATCAATATTATAATAACACCAGGTGTTATGAAAATAAATGCAATCACAATCAAAATACCAGCAATATGTTTTTTTTTTCTTTACTTCTAGTACTGGCTGATCCAATATGTTTTTTAAATTAGCAAAATAAATAGTCTATTTGAAAGAATAAATGCTCTACAGTAGCATTTACTTATGTATTTATTATATATTTATGTATGTATTCTTAATAACTATATAGCTATAGTTATTAAAATAGCACACCATTGGTATAAGAATAGGTAGATTAATGGAACAAAATATTACAGCTAGAAACAGATTACATTATAGATTACATACAATCATTTACTATATGACAAAGTGGCATCCTCAAACCAGTGATGAAGAAAATTAGTTATTTAATAAATGATATCAAGATAATTGGCAGATCATAAAAAATCTGAGTTAGAGGCCGGGCGCGGTGGCTCACGCCTGTAATCCTAACACTCTGGGAGGCCGAGGCGGGCGGATTGCTCAAAGTCAGGAGTTTGAAACCAGCCTGAGCAAGAGCGAAACCCTGTCTCTACTATAAATGGAAAGAAATTAATTGGCCAACTAATATATAGAGAAAAAATTAGCCGGGCATGGTGGCACATGCCTGTAGTCCCAGCTACTCGGGAGGCTGAGGCAGGAGGATCCCTTGAGCCCAGGAGTTTGAGGTTGCTGTGAGCTAGGCTGATGCCATGGCACTCACTCTAGCCTGGGCAACAAAGTGAGACTTTGTCTCAAAAAAAAAACCAAAAAAACCCCTGAGTTAGAATTCTATCTCAAAAAAAAGTAGGAGTTGTATCTCAAACATAAAAATAACTTTCAGATAGATTAAAGGTTAATGTGGGAAAAACATGACCATAAAAGTGGTAGAAGAAAAATAGGTCACATGAACCTAGAGCGGAGAAGAGTTGCCAAACACGGGTCCCCCAAGGCAAAAATTATAAAGAAAGAGACTGACCAATTTGAAAGCATAAAATTTAAATGGCAGACCCACTATAAGTGAAAGGTAAATGACAAACTAAGAAAAATATTTGCAACAAAAAATTAATATATCAAACACATGAAGAGTGCTTTTGAGTCAATTAAACAATAGGCCAACATACCCATGGAAATATGAGCAAGGATGTGATTCAGGTACATCAACAAAGAACCCTGAACGGCTGAGCAAGACCCCCCCAAATATTCACCCTCACTAGTAATGAAGGGAACTCAAAACTAAATAGTGAGACTCTTGTCTCACCCTATTAAATTGGCAAAGATTAAAAAAAAAAAAAAAAAGAACAAGAACACCAGTGTTGCTAAGAAGAAGAGGAGCTATGTTTGCTAAAGCATCAGAAAGAATACCCTTTCACCCAGCAATTCCACTCCTCGAAATTTATCCTGACAAATAACTATGGATGTGCAAAGATGTAGCTACAAGGGTGTTCATCAATGCATTCTTTCTTATAATCAACCAATGCCAAAAAGCCTAAGTATTGAACATGGTTGAGTATACTGTTTCATTTGGTGGAATGCTATTCAACTGTTAAAAATGATATTGTAGGAATGGAGTTACTGAGATCAAAAGATGTTGAGTAACTTGTTGAGTAAAAAAGCAGGCCCCCAAATACTATATGTGTTGTAAGCTCATTTTTTAAACATTTCAAATGTATGCATGCACCAGGTCCTGCTTAGTACCAGCAGCATTTAATTCCCATCATACACATGAAAAACGCACAAGGGATAGAAGTACCAAATCTTGTTCCCCAATAACTCATATGGACCCTATAAAGTGCAGGACTGAAGCTTTGTGTCTAAATTCCTTTGGAAGGTTCATAACAGTCTTCCCCAACCAATCAGCTGCCCTGTCTGCCCCACCAGTCAGCTCTCTGTTGTTACAGATGAGCACAGCAGGTACAGGCCAGGGTTGGCCAACCCCAAAGTCTCCCTGTAACGTGGCCCTCACATCATGGTAGAAACTTAGGTGGAGAATTAAAAAATCAGGAAGGCCCTGGCAACGTGTTGGACTCAGAAAAGGGCTTGGGCACGCTATGAATAGACAGTCTGCCAACCTAACTTGCCAAGGCAGCCTACACGAACAAACCGGTTTAAGGTCAAACTCTTTCATTCCTTCCCTCCTTCCCGCTGCCCCCCAAAACAAACAGATCTAGCTCTCTTCTGGGCTTCTTCCTGGTGACCTGAGCTCTTTTACCAGGAGACAAAGCTTGTCTTCCCTTCCACAGTTTTTGAAAGAAAGGATTTACAATGCAAAATGCCTTGGCAGGGCCTTCTCACCAAGCAAGATTTGGTACTTCGTTTCTACCCAAGATCTAAAAAATGACTCTTTCTTATTTTGGAACGGGTAAGGAAGATGCTGGGTTGGGGGAGGGGATCATTTGTGGGGAAACCGCTTCCCAATTTCAAGTGGCGCCTCAACTGCATGCACGCTATGCCTGGGGGTGTTTTTGTGTGCAGCTGGGCGGGAACTCTGCGCTGGGTGGCCCAGCGAGCAGATGTGAAGTGGAGGGGTGGTGGTGAGGCCCAGGCCCTGGGATGCTAAGCCTGGCGCCCACAAGCCAGGCAGAGCAGCTCTGGAGATGAAGGTGGAAATGGGGGGCTCTTTGGCGTCAAAGCAGGGAAGACCCTAGAACCGTCGCTCACTACTGAGGGCCTTCTCAACATCACCCCTGGGGCCATGAGAAGCCTCAGGTGCCCTGGTGACCAGGGAGAAAAGAGTTGCCCGGGGAGGGAAGCCAAGTTAAGTTGCTTATACTGGAAACTTCTCCTCTTCGAGGGAAAGCAGAACTGAAATAGGAAACTATTAACTCTCTCTCGTGTCAGAGAATCATTTTCAAACAGTTTCAAAGCCCACCACTTCTACAAATATTTAATGAGCTTGTGTCAGAGATATATCAGCTCCCTACTGAGGGAACCGGCAAGACGGTAGAGCCTGTGTTAAGGAGGATTTGAGAAACTGATAGAAGGTTCTCATAGAAGCTAGAGTAAGATTGCAGAATTAGATACAAAATAGTTAATATCATATAGGGGAATAAAACCATAATCTTTGGGGTTCTCTCTTCTACCGCACAAAAATCACTTGCAACTTATCTCACTTCCACAAGTTAACCTCTCATTGCAAAGAACGTGAGCCCTGATCAACAGCAAATAGTAAGTTAAACAAAATAACCTTCTCTTACATGACCCTCACATGGAATTGTAAGAAGATGCTTTAGTATGATTTTTAACAGCCATGCAGTCATTTGTCTTATTCATGAGTCCCTCTCACCCCCAATAAAGTAGGGGAGGGCTAGAATGGAGGCCCGGGGAACTTGAACTCTTGGAATAGAGGCTGAATACCTTAGAGGTAACCAGTACTTGGGACCAGACCACTGTGGTTACAAATCCTGAGTCTGCTACTCACTAGCCGTGGGGCCTTCAGCAGGGCATTTAACTTATGAGCCTCAGTTTCCTCATCTGTAAAATGGGTGTCCAGTAATGCCTCCCTCTCAGAGCAGTGTGTGAGGCCTATTGCTGG